CTCTTTCTTTGAATCCTGTGGCCAGTGAAAGAGCAAAGTGCACTGTCAGACCTGTTTCATCTACTTTGTCAAAATGTATCCCTAAATTGATGTCCTCATGACATATTCTGCCCTTGTACCTGACATTGTAAAATCGCCGGTGTTTAACAGATAAAGCTTTTGTCGGTGCATCTGTTGGTTACTTCTCATTTCTATTCCTTTTGGCTGGAAGGGCCTTGACTGTAAGTAATATCTTATTTTTAAAAATTATAGATTTGAAGCATATCACTCATAAAACCTCATTGTCTATACAAATTATTATCTTTGCTTCAAATGTTTTACTAGATTCAATTGCGTGATGGAAACCATTTTCTGCAGGTGCTTCTTTCTCCTCCTATAGTTGTTTATTCGCCAAGGGTACTGCCTGTCTATATTTATGATGCTCATGCAGATTCTGGGAAAAACGTCAGGTTTGCTTAAATTCCCTTTATGTATGTGGGATTTTCCTTTTTCTTCTGTGCTATACATATGCATTAGTTCCACTCCTAAACAAGTTGGATTGCTTCACAAACTACATATTTTGCTATCTTGTCTGATATTTTATCCATCTTTTCCAAAGTGCTGCATTTCTTATGCTTTATGGCGTTGCATTGGCAACTGAAGGCTGGGGTGTAGTCGCCAGTTTGAAGATTTATCCACCCTTTGCTGGTGCTGCTGTATCTGCAGTTACACTTGTTGTGGCTTTTGGCTTTGCCGTCTCTCGTCCATGTTTAACTCTCAAGGTTTGAAGTTTCCATTTACCACGAACTCATTCATAAAACCGAGCAATACAAATCTAACCTACTGTCATGTTTAGCCTCCGTTTGTCCACCATTAAATTTCATTCCATTTTTCTCTCCTATTTTCAACTACACAATCTTTCATAAAATAATACTTTTCCTTCTTTTTCAACCACTCATTTTTCAAAAAAACACTATTCCACCCATTTTCATTTCCAAAAAATGGGGGCCAAACGGGGGCTTAATGTGCATATGAAATCTTATAAAACAGCCATCTTGATGCACATGTTGATCTATCATCCATCAAAATTTTCCTTCCTTGCTCATTTCAGCATTTTGCTTCCTTTTTCCATTCTAATCTCTCATTTCTATTAGATGGTGGAAGATGCTGTTCATTTCCTAAGTAAGGAAACTATAATCCAGGCAATAGCTCGATCGGCCACCAAGGTGAGTATAGTTTTAGGTGCATGTTAATTTCTCAAAATTTTGTTCTTTTTTGTTCACTGAATCTCTGTAACCAAATAAAGATTAATGTAGCTGGTACCATTTTGTTACTTATTTACATCATACTCTTAGCGATAGAGTTCAACTCTTCAGGCTTTTTTTGTATCTTCAATTACACATAAACATAGTCAATATCATCTGTTTCTTTTTAAGAAAATGTTTCATATCCTTCTTATGTATATTTAGTCAATTAGTCATTTTGGGATCAACTTCCATTCTCCTCACACCTCATAAAAAAGAAGGAGACGGAAAGACGAAAACTGAGAGACAGAGAGAGAGAAGAGAAGGGAAGAGAGGCAATTATCATGGTGAAATTTGTGCCTGTATCATCTTCAGTGTTCTCATCTGCTTCCATATCATTTTGTGTTTCATCATTACGGTGAAACATCGTTTCAGTGATTCAGAGTAAAGACGATTTCGTAGTTATTGAAGATGGTACAGGTGTGAAAATTGGACCTACTGTGAGTTTAATATTGGTAACAAATTTGAGGTTATGAAATTGCAGCGTGCTCAACTGTAAAACACTGTTTCCCAGAGGGTTCTGTTTTAGTTTATCTTTACCTGATGGAAGAAGAAATTCATTGGTACCAGGAAGCAATTACTTTAGAAGTAGCACTAGAATTACCAGAGAGGTTCCTACATCTTCATTGTTCTTTCGTTTATTTATCTGCTTCAGATATCTTTAAGTTGCTTTCTAAAACGTGCCTGAATCTGGAAAATTTATGGTCTTGTAGTTGATATGTCTTTGTTCTGATCTAAAAGTCCCCTCTTACTCCTCGCAGACGAGAAATGCATTATCTGGAACTTACTCAGCTCCTCAGCGGTCTGCTAGCTCAGCTGCGCTTTTAGTTGGGGATCCCACTGTTGCACGGGATAGGGCTGGGAACTTTGTGCTTCCCAGAGCCGATGTCATGAAACTAAGAGATCGTTTGAGAAATGAAGAACTGACTGCCGGATCATTCATCTCCAGATTGAGAAGTCGAAGGATATTGCGGCATGAAGCAACCAGTGATGTAGGTCACAAAAGAGAAATGTGTGCCCATGCAAGAATACTGGCTCTGGAGGAGGCAATTGATACTGAATGGGTTTACATGTGGGATAAGTTTGGTGGTTATTTACTTCTTTTGCTTTCCTTGACTGCCAAAGCAGAACGTGTGCAGGTAAAAATGATCCATACTGCTTGCCATGAATTCCTCATTTGGTTTCACTGATGATGATTATTGTACCCTTTGTTTGTGCCTGTTCAGGATGAAGTTCGTTTGAGACTCTTCCTTGACAGCATAGGTTTTTCAGATTTAAGTGCCAAAAAAATAAAAAAGTGGATGCCTGAGGATCGTAGGCAATTTGAACTTATACAGGAGAGGTGAAATGAGTACACTTCAAAATTAAGTCCTATACTCTGCATTTGCATCAGCTTGTCCTTGTATTTCTAAATATTTCTTGATTAATTCTCAGTTACATAAGAGAGAAGGAGATAGAAGAGGAAATTTTGATGCAGAGACGTGAAGAGGAAGGGAGAGGTAAAGAAAGAAGAAAAGCTCTTCTGGAGAAAGAAGAACGTAAATGGAAGGAGATTGAGGCTTCTCTTATATCATCTATTCCTAATGCGGGAAGCAGGGAGGCGGCAGCCATGGCAGCTGCTGTGCGGGCTGTAGGAGGGGATTCACTGCTTGACGATTCATTTGCACGGGAGAGAGTTTCAAGCATTGCATATAGAATACGTGCAACTCAGTTATCTGATAGGGCACTTCAGGTATTTCAATATTATATCATTCTCTATCGATCTTCAAATAATACTAGAATTTGTATCTTCCTTTTTGACCTTAACTTATTGTGCTATCTAGATGGTGGTTGCTGAAATCATAATTGCCATCTTGTGGGAAACTTGTAGAGATCATTTCATTCTTCTTTTCGTTTTATGGGGTTGTGACACAGGTTTTGATAGAAGTAGATGAAATGTGTAGTCGTAACATTGATAAAAGTTGGGGGTTCCTATTAAATGTGTGGTTGAAATTGAAGTTTGACCAGTTCAAAAGTTGATTTAATTTTAGCTAAACTTTTATCAAACAAGCACTTAGTTCTTTTTTATCTTACTGCATGGCGATTGGGAACGGGTAGTAGGTAATTTAGACTACCAAAGTTTTCAATTAATGGGATGGATTACTAACTTCATACTGTCACTTTTACAGACTGGCCTTGCTGGTGCTGTATGTATTCTTGATGATGAACCTACAACGAGCGGCAGGCGCTGCGGACAGATTGATCCTGGTTTATGTCGAAGCCAGAAAGTTAGCTTCTCTATTTCAGTAATGATTCAGCCTGAGTCTGGGCCAGTTTGTCTCTTGGGTACTGAATTCCAGAAGAAAGTGTGTTGGGAAATTCTTGTGGCTGGATCTGAACAAGGCATTGAAGCTGGACAAGTTGGTCTGCGATTAATTACCAAAGGTGATAGACAGACTACTGTTGCAAAGGAGTGGAGTATAAGTTCATCAAGTATTGCAGATGGAAGGTTTGTGCGTGTGCTGTTCATACCCATATATTTTCCTTGTTCAGTAGTTTGTAAACAACCTATGGAGTCTACGGTTTTTGTCTTGCTTATTGCTTATTTTCTCTTACCTTTTTCTTTGTCCGCCTGGTTTCCTTTCAAGCAAGTCTTTGTTTTCCTGCGAACGTTTTTCTTTATAATATTTAAATTCTTCCTTATCTTTTTTATATGGCTTTGTGTTTTATATGAAAGTAACTTTGACTTGCAGGTGGCATATTGTCACAATGACCATTGATGCTGATTTAGGCGAGGCCACTTGCTTCATTGATGGTGGTTATGATGGCTATCAGACTGGGCTTCCACTTAATGTGGGCAATGGCATTTGGGAGCAAGAAACAGAAGTTTGGCTTGGAGTTAGACCACCGACAGATGTGGATGCATTTGGGAGGTCAGATAGCGAAGGCGCTGAATCCAAAATGCACATAATGGATGTTTTCCTTTGGGGAAGGTGCTTGAATGAAGATGAGATTGCTGCTCTTGCTGCTGCTATGGGTTCTTCGGATTACAATACAATGGATGTCCTCGATGATAATTGGCAGTGGACAAGTTCTCCTCCAAGGGTCTGCGCCTGTTTTTGCTACCACTCTATGTTTTTCTCCACCATTTTTGCTTCTTAGCATTTCCTCCATCTTACTTGTAGTGTTATCCTTTTGGGTGCCAAACCAGTTCTGATTGCTATTTCATGTGATTTAACTTAGGTTGAGGACTGGGAGAGTGATCCTGCAGATGTAGATCTTTATGACCGGGATGATGTAGATTGGGACGGGCAATATTCAAGTGGGAGGAAGAGAAGATCAGATCGTGAAGGGGTCGTGGTAGATGTGGATTCTTTTACTAGGAGGTTGAGGAAACCTAGGATGGAGACACAAGAGGAAATCAATCAACGTATGCGGTCAGTGGAATTGGCTGTTAAGGAGGCTCTCTTGGCCAGTGGAGAATCACAATTTACTGATCAAGAATTCCCACCTAATGATCGCTCATTGTTTGTTGATCCTGATAATCCCCCCTCTAAATTACAGGTAACTTTCCTTGGATTTTTATGTCTTGGTTACATTTCTTATTTGTCTTGTTATGCCATCTAATGAACTACATGGATGTCTAAATTACTGCTTTCTATCACAGGTCGTTTCCGAGTGGATGAGGCCTATTGAAATGGTCATGGAAAAGCATCTGGATTCTAATCCATGCTTATTTTCAGGAACAGCAAACCCTTCTGATGTTTGTCAGGTGTCTGTTCATTCTCTCTCTCTCTCTCTTCCTCGTAAAGCATGCAGGGCATGAAATTTGATGCTCAAAATTATTTTTGAATCTAGTTGCTTTCTCCACCAGTGCCATGATTTAACTAAATTTAGTTGCTTTACTAATGGCTCAAATCTAACAGGGCCGGTTGGGTGATTGTTGGTTTTTGAGCGCTGTTGCAGTGCTAACTGAGGTTTCACGCATATCAGAAGTCATTATTACTCCACAATATAACGAGGAAGGAATTTATACAGTCCGTTTCTGTATTCAGGTGGTTCACTCATGCTTATTTCCCTTCCTTTGTTCTAAAATCTGTGCAAAATGCTGTGATTGTTTGAAACTATAATTCGTAGATTAATTCAAATTTACCAAATTCCAGACAACCTTAGCATTTCATAGGAGAATTTGATGTTGTCTTGACTACCACGCTTTGATAATAGCTGTGTGGAATAACCAATGCTGTAAAAAGCTAGACTGGATTCCATGTGATCTAATGTTGCAATAATCAATTCAAATTTGGCTAATTTACTTCTTGAAGCTACTATATCACCATTTATGCTTTCCTTGTTTTCAGGGGGAATGGGTTCCTGTTGTTGTAGATGACTGGATTCCATGTGAATCACCTGGCAAACCTGCATTTGCTACCAGCAGGAAGAGGAATGAATTATGGGTCTCTGTATTAGAAAAGGCATATGCTAAGCTTCATGGCTCATACGAAGCATTGGAAGGTGGGCTTGTCCAAGATGCTCTTGTGGACCTAACTGGTGGTGCAGGTGAGGAGATCGACATTAGAAGTGCTCAAGCCCAGATTGATCTAGCTAGTGGAAGACTATGGTCTCAGTTACTACGCTTCAAACAAGAGGGCTTCCTGCTTGGTGCTGGTAGCCCTTCAGGGTCGGATGTGCACGTTTCTTCCAGTGGAATTGTGCAAGGGCATGCTTATTCAATATTACAGGTATGTTGGTCCAAGACCTTGTATGTAAAATACCTTAATAACCAGTAAAAGGAATATTGTGTGACGCGGCCACCTTTTGCTATATATATCTGTTTAGGTACGCGAAGTAGATGGCAATAAACTTGTTCAGATCAGAAATCCATGGGCAAATGAGGTCGAGTGGAATGGCCCTTGGTCTGATTCATCACCTGAATGGACAGATAGGATGAAGCACAAGCTCAAGCATGTCCCACAGGTAGTTTCAGTTTGTGTGTGTATATATATATATATATATATTTCCTTTTTTTTGCCTTGCAAGAAATTATAATTAGGTAATTCTTATTTACTTTATTCACGAAAGCATTGGTGTATTCATTTGTAAACAGGCAAAAGATGGTATATTCTGGATGTCTTGGCAAGATTTTCAGATACATTTCAGGTCGATATATGTATGCCGTGTCTACCCACCTGAGATGCATTATTCTGTCCATAGTCAGTGGAGAGGCTACAGTGCTGGAGGCTGCCAGGACTATGATACTTGGCATCAAAATCCACAGTTCCGCTTGAGAGCCATGGGGCCTGATGCATCCTTGCCTATTCACGTGTTCATTACCTTAACTCAGGTATTTTTATATGTGCAAGCTCATTAATCATCAAATAACTGCATCCCGTTCAATTCATGCCAAACTGTGTCTACGCAGGGGGTGAGCTTCTCAAGAACAACAGCTGGTTTCAAGAATTTCCAGTCAAGCCATGATTCTCAGATGTTCTACATAGGAATGAGGATTCTGAAGACCCGTGGACATCGTGCTGCCTACAATATTTACATGCACGAATCAGTTGGTGGCACAGATTATGTAAATTCTCGGGAAATATCTTGCGAAATGGTCCTTGATCCTGATCCAAAGGGGTATACAATAGTGCCAACAACCATTCATCCCGGTGAAGAGGCACCCTTTGTTCTCTCTGTATTCACCAAAGCTTCAATAGCTCTTGAAGCTTTATAGTACAGCAACGGCTCATTTTTCTGGATAGATCCTTGCAGTAGTGGGGTTGTGCAATGACCTTCCTATGTGCCGGCCGGCCAAATAATCCGAAATGAGGGACAGTCATTTGGTAATATTCTTATACCGGACCAGTTCTCCTCCCTTACCTTTATATATATTAGATATGTTAGTATGGTGATTGTTCTGATTTATCAAATACTATCCACTGAATATGCGCTAAACACTTGAACACCTTTTATTTGTGTTAGCGGATTGTTCACAATGTGGTTCTGATTGCAACTGGAATCTTGGCTTCGAGGGAATTAACTGACTGCTCAAGTGTTCGCTTCATCACGTAATTTGTCAGAAGCCGATGGCATCTCGGTGTCATTGATTTATGGGCATCCAAGAATGTGAGTAGAGAAGCTTCTCTTTGCATTTTGGCAATTTGATTGGCCTTTACAGAGGGTTGTTGAGGATAAAGAATGTGTACATTACTACATGTTGCAAGAATATAGGTTGTAATCTTGTAAATGAGCAGTAGAAGAAAGGTGTTCAAAGAAATAGGTATACCTTGTTAGGAGATCACAAAATGGCAATGTAGCTAGAAAAAAGTTCGAAGTTACAGCTGCAATTTTGAGGGTAGTTATCAATTGTACAAATTGTTCTCGTCATTTTTCTTTAAGCAATCTTAATGTATATTTTCATTTATCTATATTTTGTAATACTTTGTTTTCTGGGTTATTGATGAGAAAGGAAGCTAAAAATGCAATAGAATTTAACGGTCTCATTATTGATAAAATATGTTATTACATGAAAATGACATGAATATCAAACAAATTATTAGTTTAGTTCCAACTCTTTTAACAGTTTGAACTCCATTATTTTCTTATTAAAATAAAAATATGATCATTATCTATCACATCAAATCATTATATTTGACTTTTTATCTCGTGTGGGATTCATAACAACTATATTTTTCATTTTCATTTTTACAATAATGTGGCTCAAACGAGTGCTTAATGCATAATTTAACTAGTTGTTTCTTTTAACAGTCACAAATCTTCACACGCTCCTCTTAAGTCAAACAAAAACAATTCAAATATTCATTTATATGTTGATTTGTTACAAACTTAGCTCTTGTTTGAATCCCATTCTTTGAAAAAAAAAATGCATTTTTAAACAGTGTTTTGACATTATTTCGACTATACAATCTTCAATAAAATAATATTACAATCAAATAGAAAACTTTTCTTTATTCTTCAACGCAAATTATCAGATTGTTACTACAATTTGTTCTCCCTCTCCCTGTCCCAAGCCATCATTCTGAATCACTTTCCATGCTTCCCATAGCTTTCAATCCTCTAGGCTTCTGCACCAATCAACATTCGAAAACACATTTTTAGAGCCAAAACTGAAAAAGAAAGTGGCATAAAATATAATAGAACGAAGCAATATGGAGATGGAAATCAGTACCTTTTTAGAAGTCTTCTTCTCCCTCACTTCATACCTCTCTTGGCACAAATCAGACAACCATGCACCAGGACTTACCAACTACACAAACAAATACAACCCAAAATCACAAAAGGATCGAATGCTATAATATTTTGGATTCATGTTTACACAAATGACTTACAAGAATAGTTCTTTGGATCAACTTGGCCCTTTTCTTAACCCTCTGAGGCAGTTTACAGCCTTTCATAGCCATAAAATCTTCCTCTTTTTCCTTACTCGACAATGTAACAAGTAATCTTGGCCAAACAATCTTTCTACTTTCCTCTGGATTTGCAAAAGCCTTGCTAGTATCATCAAATGTCCCCGACCCCCTTGTGTAATACCGATCTTCTTTCTCAGGTGATGAAGACGTTGATGCTTTTAGGCTATCATTTGCACCAGATCTAATCAAACCCAAGTCTCTGTTATGAAAAACACAAAAGATTTAGCACATTTTTTCAACTTGTGATAGATTTCCACTTCCCATTTCAAGTGTGTGTGTGTGTATCAATACCACTTTAACCAAACTTCTAACACATTCTCGAAATCTTTTATCAGATACAAGGCCACAATCTAATCTTTCAACACTATCAATAACATCACTATTCCCCATCAAATTACACTAAAATGCGAAAATAATAAACAAGTAAAACTTCACTTCACAAGCAATTAAAACTACAAATTTCAAGAATCATGGCTCATAATTTAAAAAGCTAAGCAATATTTTCAATGCAATTTTCAAAATGTTAAAAAAAATAAATAAATAAATAAAAAAGAGCAGCATCAGTCTAGACATTTAATCCTAGTCTTGTTACCTGTTGGAACGTTGAGGAGATGGAATAGGATGAAGAACAGATGATTCTTTGTTATTACTACTACCATTATTGTTATTATCAGGAACTCTTGATGTGATTCTCTTCTTCACAACGCCGCTCCCAGATCCATCTCCATCTGATTTCCCATTCAAAGATGAATCTTTCACTTTTACACATCTCAGTCTCTTCCTGTTCCCCCACTGCAACTTCTCCATGTCTGAATCTATAAACACAAGAAAATATCTGCAGCAAAACAAAGCAAGGAAAGCCATAATTTCTGGTAACCCATCTGAGATTTATGACTTCGCATTCTGAAAAATGTAGCTATTAACAAAATTCAAAACATGCTTCAAGATCTATAGAGAAGACTTCCTAAAACTATCCAAGTGTACAGCACTGCAAAATCCCATACAAAATATGAGAGAGAGGGAATTACAATATTCAACTTTCTTTGCAGAGCAGCCCGGAAAATGATAATTTATCTGATAATAAAGAAAGGATTTCGAATCTCTCAACAAATCAAGTCGAGGTTTTTGTACTGTATTAGAACGTCACAGATTTGTTCTCTCAATCAAGAAAATGAAACTTGGAGCTTTTATATGCTGTGTAGGCCTTTTTTTCTTCGTCGTTTGGGTTGAAGTCTCAGTTGTGGTTCTTTTGCACCCTACAGTCAAAAGTCAAAATTGGTGCATTTTGTTTTTGACTTTTATTCTGAGAAATAAGTAATTATTTTTGAGTAAATTAATTAAGACGATTCTTGATCGTTGACTCTTCGATGGACGGCGGGATGGATCTCTTGGAGCGTTGAAGCTTGAAGAGACCATCCATGTCACGTGACTCCTTCCCCCTGAGATTTGGCTTTTATTTATTGAATGAATAATCGATCGAGACCCTAAAAATAATAATGCTTTGAAATAAGCATGAATAATCAAATAAAATAAAGTATTGCTCACGTAAGAGTGCACGTAAAATACCAAATGATGAAAATGGCAAAATTTTAAAATGATACTAATTTTCTACACGTGTTGTACTAGTAATTTAGTATCAATAATCCTACTCGTACATTTTTTCCCACATTGAATCGTTTTCAAAAAATAGTGGGAAGTAAAGGTTTTTTTTTTTTTTTTTTATAAACTATCCAATAGTGTGTTGCCATGTGGTACAACGTAAATAAATATGTCAAATATGATGTACATGCAATGGACAACCCTTATTTTCAAGGCCATAATTAATAATTTTGCAAGAGGTCTTAAAAGTTGTTCCCAGAGCTCTATTCTTCACTGCAACGTATAGACCAAAAGTTTAAATATAAAGTTATATATTATTTGGAATAAATAAATCTTAATAATTTGAATATTTAGCAACAGTGACCAAAAGTAAAGAACTAATTTTCACTCGAACAAAATAAACTGTAAGCGTGTTTGTTTATCATTTTTTACGTTTCATGGGACTCACAAAATTGATCGATTTTTCAATCATATGTTTCATCAATTTTTATCAAAATTTATTGACAATCTAATTTTTAACAAAAGCGAACATTTCCACATCTCATCGGCGGATGCTTCGACCCTCTAATAATGGCCCCAGTAAGGGAGTCAGCATTTTCCTTATATATGTTTCTCATATATATATGATGACACATTCCGCCATCAAAGCCCAAATGTGTTGCCACCGCTGATGCACCGTCACCCAGCCCCCACCTCCGATGCCCTATTTTTTTGTCCCAACCTTCTTTTCCTCACAGCCCTCGCTTTTGGCATCGGTTCTCTTCTGAATGGAATCTCATGCATCAACCATCAAGCATGATCGCCAACTTTACTTTCAGTTCGTTCTCGGTGCATAATAATGGACTTGACTGGACAATATTATCTTAGTTTCGTCTGATATCATCACTCCAACTCATTCCTGCCTACTGAAATTACTTCTAATTTCTGAGTATTATTCGACTAAGTGCATAACTAGGTATCATTATTATACTCTCGGTATCTAGTCTTTCTTTAATTATGTTACTTAAAAGGCCAATGACAGTACGTGGACAAGGAAAGACAATTTTAAAAATGGCATAATTGCCATTTAGCTACAAGAAAGGTCGTATTGAAAAGCTATGGGACCGTATGGAGACTGGTCTCTGCATGGAGCATCAATTATGTAATTGCCAATATATAATGCTAATCTTAAATCAAAATTGCAAACTTCAACCAATAGGAGTCGGGATCTCTCTCAATTACTAGGTAATATACATCGGAGATATGTTCTCAAATTTACACAACTGATTTGTTCTACTGAGACGACACTGAAGGGGACATATGATGGTTTAACATGTAAGTACTCTCAAGATAGAGGACATAGGATAGAGCAAAGCTTACAAGAGAAAACTTGAATCTAAGTGCTGTAGAAGCCAGTTCTTGCAATCTGATACAAACAAGTTCCGTGTTACTGAGCTTCAAGATGAAACGCACACAAGCTAGTTTACAAGTCTCTGGATGGGAATGCTCTTGTTGAGGACGACTCGCCCAAGGAAACGGATGCCAGAGATGAAGCCCAAACCCGAGCATTTCTAGCCCCTCTAAGGAAGTTCCTAGTTTTACACAGCTTCAACTTGCTCCAAATTCTCTTGATATCAATCAGTTGGAAGACACGTCCTAAAAGCTGCCTTGACTCTCCAAAGATTCCCATATTCAGATGAGGAATGTGTTCAAGCCACAATGCCATTGCATGAGCTACGATCTCTGGGAAAAAATGTATAAAAGCCCTTGAGAAGACGAATACTACAGAAAGTACTAGATAAGGTTCCCGTGAGAATGTGTCCTTCAACGAGGATCCACTCCAAATCTGAAGGACTTTCTGATCATTCTCTGAAGAACTTACTCTATCTTCGCTCATCTCCGCTACTGGATAAAGCCCTAAGCAAATAAAAATAAATATATAAATTGTAGGTACGAGGGGAGAAAACACAATGTACAGCTTGCATCAATGTCCAAAAATGCAAGAAAAATATTGATAACAAAACATTTAAAAAAATAGGATCATCAAAGAAAGGAAGTTTATATCATAAAGAAATATATGTGCAGATGAATAAGGAAACTGTCACTTCATTGAAATGCTAAAGATGTACATCTGGAAATGAAATGCAACCCTTTCCCATATCACTGTTGCTTAGCATAAGCTACGTAAACAGTGCCTAGTAGATTATCTATCTCTAAACATTAATGGGAGACAAAAAGAAAAGATACATCAGAGAAGTTAAAGATAATGATATTGAGAAACTAAAGCAGAAATAGATTCAACGTCAAAGTTATGGTGCAACCAAATAAACCTTCAGGAAGTTCATGATAAAAATGCATTTTTGGAAATTCCAAAATGGGGGAAAATATCTACTCATATGGGATTCTCATGGAAGGGGCGAAACTGAAGATGAAAGATGTATGAAATAATAAATATATTTATTCCCGTATATCACCGCAAAAGCAACCAGAAAATAAAATTCTCTTAACAGGGATGCTACCTGTAGTTCTTTTATAGAAGTCGACAAGTGAGTGAAAATCTTTGCGACCATGATATTTCATTCGTGCTGTCTGATTCACAATCAGTAGCGAGGGCACAGAATGAATTCCATATCTAGAGAAAACACTGCACATAAAACACGAGCAAGAAAGTTAATTCATGCAATGAGAAGATGCCTTAATGAGGATGGTAGGTCAAAACCCTGACCTATCTATCTATATAGACACACATTAAGGGATTAAAAGTGACACATCACCACTTACTAACATCCCAAACTAAATCTTCAAGTGTCACTATCAAACACCCACAACTATTATTCGATGATAAAACGGTCTGACAGTACACAAGTCTCCATCAAGTCATACTGAATAAACACAAGGTCCTGCATATTATTCAGAAAATGGCTTCCTAAAGAATTGAATGATTTAAGGAGTTAAAGCTTAATGCTGGAGAAAAGTCCCCCCCTGCACTATTCTTGCGCAAGTAGTAAAGTGGTGGAGGTGAAAAGGTAAACAGGTGCTGTGATCTACTTGAAAAGTATGCATAAACGAAAAAGAGGGTGAGAAGGGAGCACATAGCAAATTAACCTACCTGGGCATGGCTGAAGATTGTTCAATCATTACATGTTTAATCTGCGGGAACATGTTACTGGTAGCAGCAAACCTCGACTGAAAGATGCTTGAAAAAGGACACCAGGAAGCATAGAACAAAATGGCAGTATATACATTATCCTGATTGGAGCTCAGTGATCTATCAAATGATTCTCCATCCATCTATAATGACAAATAGAGTTGTCAATAAATAATTGAACAATTAAAAAACTGAGATAGTACTCATAAATAAGCACATCACAAGAGATGAAGGTGAATTAAATGTTAACTTCAATTTCACAAGACAAAAATCACACAGTTATCACTTCTCAAACCAGAATCACACCGGCCGCAGCGATGGTAGACCAACATCATTATTTCCAAAGAACAATTCATTTTTGTGTTCAACTAGTGATCAGAAATGGTTAAAATCAATGTTGAATTAACAAGCTGTTTCGAGACGAATATAATTTTTAAAAAATATGGTTTATTCCAAGAAAAGAAAGAAAAATCAAATCAAATCAAAGAACGAAGAAAAACACAGAGCAACAGAAATTATTGGTTTTCCTTCTTGTATAAAATATATTTGGATGTGCTAAAATGCTAGAGCTAAACTAACATAAAGGGTGTGCAAAAAGGGTGTCACGGATGCCATATAGCTGAGTGCATGAAAATAATAATCTTAAAAGCTTATCAGGTGGAAGCCAAGTCCAATTCTTCAAAACAACAGCAATATTTAACAAAAAATAATAATAATAATAATAAAAGAAAATCTTTTCAAGGGCGATTTCGACTATTAAAGGGAAGAATGTGATAACTAAAGCATAAGGACAACAAACCAAGAAAAAAATAGTTAATGTTATCGAGAAGACATGTTGCATGTTTGGTAAGTGATTAAATTAGATTTAAGTGATGATAACTTTGGATCTTATAGAATATGTGGATTATAAGTGGGAAGTGATGGCACCAGCTTCAGAAGCTAGAAATGATTCATTAAAGCATGGAAGCTCAACCACACTCCCTGACATGGTAAAATTGGTCCTTTTGGGGGTTGTGGGGGGTGGGGGAGGAAAGAATAAGAAAGAAAAGTCATGCTATAACCGCACTATATGAAATTTAATACCATTTCACTGGTAAGCAATTTTAATTTCATTGTCAACCATATGATAATGCCCCTCATCAGCCAGGCTAACAAACAATGAATAGACAATTACCAATTAGCTACCAAGTGTGATAATCTCATGTTAAAGCTTTCTACCAACTAAGGCCTTCATTATTTACAAAATAAACAGATTGTTGCATCTTTGTTTCACTTAGCCATTTGTCCTTCTAAACCTCAGTAAAACAAATTGAAAAAAGAAAGAGATGTTAGAGCACACATTCAGCATTCCTGACTTTTTAAGTATGCAATTTTTCTTACCTTCATTTATCTAATTCCGACAGTAGTCACATTTACCTCTGTATAGTTTCCAATGTGAAATTTGTAGTTATATGTTAAAAGGTTTAACAGAAGTTCACCTACCACACCCAAATACAATGAGGAGAAGATCCATTGTTGATTGTACAACTTATTATTACTATTCAGGAAGTGAAAAACCAGTACAAACCAAAGGACCAAAAAAAAAAAAGCTAAAGCCAAAAACAATAGCGTATTGAGATAAAGTGATACTAGAGTTCAAGTGACCAGAACAGCTCAAAATCTGTCATGTAGAGAAAAACCAAATAGTAAGCATTGGCTGTTACTCATAAATTACATTTTGCAATAGTATAAAAAACCGGTGAGCCTAATGTTGCAAAAGAGATCCACAACCTTGAGACCCAAACATTACGTAACTCGAGACAACATAAATCAATACATACTATTGAGACCAAGAAAATGGAAGTAGATATACTGCAGCACATCAAACAGAAATTAGACCATCTACTGACAGTCATAATCTACATTTACATTCAAAGACTTTGCAGTGCTTCAACCTGCATTTGGACAATGACGGAGAGTCCAAAAAATCCAATAAGGCTGACCAGCCTCGCTAGACTTTTTTATTTTGATTCAAGCAAGTGTTTCAATTACTTCAGTCACAAGCTGCAGGTAGCTCTATTCTCCCCTTCCTTGGTCAGTGATGACAAGTTTTTTATGCAGGAATGCCAGTTATGCGGGTCTCAATCGTATTGGTGTGAAATACTGCTACACATAACCTCTAATCAGTTACTATAGTAGCAAACTAGCAATTCAGTTATTCATAACTGTATAAGTTTGAGCTTACTTGAATGCCCAAATCCTAGTAACCTTTGTATCTTCAAAAATAGTGGCAATTGTTACAATTCCTTTGACCATAATAACATCTTTACTTTCTGAAAGGGAATTTGACCTTTATCAACATGGCATTTGGTAAGGTGAGACTCTTTTCATGCTCTTTCTAAGAATCTCCCCTCTCTAATCAGTAAAAGCTCTCCTTCGAGCTAGTTGAAGCCTCATATGTATACCAAAGAAAGCCTTACATAAAATCCAACGATACCAAATGATCATAAATAAATTACTAAGACCGGAAATATCATGGTATATGTTCAGCGAGTGGCAACTTAACATAATATGCTGGGGGTCCATTAATACGTGACAATGTCTCGAGACCACAAATACTGATTGATGACGTAATCAATCACGCTAGTTTTCTTATCTTCACAGCATGTTGTGTATTAAAACATAAAGCAATGTCTCTTTAAAAGATAGTTATGTAGTAAAATATTGCAAGGGAGACAAAAAGGGGATTCACGTTAACAAAGGGCAGGTCACTTGAAGGGAAACTAGTTGAGATGCCTCAAATGCAGTAAAATGACAACTTAGATATCAAGTACAATTATTGGGTTTATTCTTTTATTGACCTCTAAACAGAAAAGGTGGTAATTCGCCAGGTGCCTTTAACTTCATGTTTGCATCAAAATTTCATATTTAAGATCTACACCGTGTATAAAGTACTGCATCCATAGAATGACGCACCATTGAAAAAGGTGTTTCTAGCCAGTTTGTTTACTTCAAGTCTCAAGACAATAAATTATGACCCTTCCTTCATAAAATCTCTAGGTAGATTTCCAAACAAAGTTGACTAAACAATAATGTATTTTTAGACCGACCAGAGACCTTGTCAGCGTATCATGGTTGTCATAATGCTTCATCACCATCTCACCTCACATATCTTCATTTTAATCTATTGTTTGTTCAATAATTTTTAATTTCTGTTCACACTACACATATAGAGAGAGGCAAAATCCAGAAACAATTGCTGACATTCCCACAACCTAGGTTAATCTTTCAATAGAATGATACGTCAACAAAATGATGCTACTACCCATTTTCTTTACTTAAGACAATATAATGTGGCCCTTGCAGGAGATCTTGCTAGCATATCAAGGTTGTCCCAATGCTTCATCATCATCTCGCCTCAAACATCTTCGTTTCGATATGCTGTTTCTTCTTAAATTCCCTCTAGTAACATCCGTTCACATTTCACCTACAGGGAAATTACTCCTAATCCAAAATTAAATAAAGAAAATTGCTTTGAGCTCAACACCTTATTTAGCAAAACCTAATGCTGAAGTCCCTAGAAGCCACTCTTTTCAAAAAATGCTTCCATATAAGAAAGTAAAGAAACTTTTTAGCTAAATTTCCTTTCCCCAAAGAATCACTATTTTTATGCTCAGATTCCGGCCTAAAGGAAAAGTAATGTTTTAAAATTCAGCTTTATTTTTTTCCCCCCTATTCTAACTCCTTACTGAATTTGCAAAAATAAGAATGGTCGAGACATTTATAGCCATCCACAATTCTTATTGCTTAACATCTACAACTCCGTTAAAAACCCTAACTTTGTGAACGATAAACAATATATAATCCCCAAGCGAATCTTTGCAAAACCAACTAATAATTCAGAAAAAAGTCAACAATTATCAGCTACCAATTATATTTGAACAAAATGAAACCAAATTAAACTTATTTCTCCACAACAAAACGATAGAATCCCCTATAAACTCTTAAATCATATTATGCATACAATAGATAATAAAAAAATAATATTTATATATACCTGAATAGGGAAAGAAGATAAGGGGATCGAGACGGGGCACTGAGTCTTCAGATCGTGGAGAAACGTTTTGGATTCCCCGACACAAAAGGATGTAGGCGACGGAGGAGGAAATGACGCCGCGGATGCCGCCACTATGCACATCAATATACAGGCGTATATCCTCATCGATAACTCCATTGGCAAACCAAATATCATTCTATTCTTATTTCAATTTCCTAATCGTTCTTAAAAATGATTTAATTTCTCGTAATAATTTATGGATTCAAAATTCCTTATATTTTCGAAAGTTTGGGAAATTTTTCTCTCTCTATCACTAATTTTCTGCTCTTTCTGGTTCTCTTTTTCAGCGACTTTCAATCTGCGTACAATTTTGGTTTCGTATATTTATTTTTTTATTTTCAATTTATACCCTTTTTTTGTTTTGATTCTTTTAATGCACGTGGTTGACGGGTCTCAGATTATCTCACCTGCATTGTAGATAGAGTCGGTGACGGTCCACTTTGGTTCATCCATCGGAGAACAAAATGCGGGTGTGCGCCTGGACCTTCACCAAGTTTTTGACTTTCATAGAATAATATCCTGTGCTGATCGGAACACCGTAAGAACAAAAGGTTTTGTCTTCATTTAATTTTGAACGGTGTTGCATTCGACTCCCTATCTTCAATTTAGTGCAATCAAACCATTCAACTTTAATTTATTTGCAAATTTAGTTACCTGTCTTCATTTTAACCCAATCAAGTCACTTGACTTCGGTTTGCTTGCAATTTTGTCCATTATCACGTCAATTAATATTCGGCTGCCATTGAAATTAAAA